GAGTTGTACAGGAGAATGTGGAGCTGTGTGGACTTGTCGATGATTAATACCAGCTGTATTTGCCTCCGTGCAGTTTGCCGTTCTCGGTGTGCTCTGTGTGTGATGTCCCTCTGTGTGTTCCCTCGCTGTGTGGTTTATGCCATTTTCACCTGAGGACGAACGCTTGTGTTGCGTTCGAAACGTCGTGATCTATTTTATGTTTTATTTTATTTCTACATACGTGACTTTACCGAAATAATCAATGAGTATAACACCAGCGGTGTTAAGATTGGCCTCTGTGGAGGAGGCTCGTGAAGGACGCTGCTGGGCAGTAGGAGGCAGTCGTCCTTCTGGAACAACGGAGGGCAGAGGAGCGACGCTCCAAACGAGCCAGCGGGCGTTCGACACTTCACGTGGCCTTAACATGCACATAGCCTGGCACAAGCGCCATGGTGACGTCACTGTCACTTCGTGGTAAATATCAGTTGTTGTTGATGGATGGAGTTGAGTCTTCTCTCTTTAAGCCTGTGCATTGCGTGCGAGTATGCAGGGGAGATGGACGAACTGGGTAAGAACTGGCTCTCCGGGGTTTGTCTCTACGACAAGAACGAGGTGATGAGCAGCAAGCTGGACATCGACAATATGGCCGGTGTATTCTTCATGCTGCTGGTGGCGATGTGCCTCAGCTTCCTCGTCTTCCTGAGCGAGAACTTCTTTTACCGCTTTGGGCGCCACTGGACCAAGCCCGAGCCAGCCAAGAAGCCCGGCCTGCTGTTCATCGTCAGCAGGGTGAGTCGTGCTACCCCCCCCACCACTCCACATTTATTCTGCCGTAGTAAAAGTGTTTCCAATAAATACGAACACTGCCGCGTTGTTTAAATGCAGCCACGAGCACTTGTGAAAGTAACGTACTCTTGGGGTGGCAATAACACATCGAGCCATCGACTGTTGTCGGCTGATAAGCTTGCAGAAACACGTGTCGCATTGCGGGTGAACAAGTCGATGTCCTTTGATTTATGTATTGTAGGGTTTACCTGACCCGTGCAACCACAAGAAGGTGGGGGGGGGGGGTGGTTAGGGGGTGATTAGGAGGGGATTAGGCGCACAAGGGTGAGGGGTAACGTTGTAAGGGGTGGTAAGGAAGGCGGGGTGATGGCGGGAGGTTGTAATAGTTAAGCAGAGAGGTGGTTGAGGAGAGAATGGGTTGTGGGGGTGAAATCGTTCCAACCCATATATAGGTGTATGCATGTGTACATATACACTATAAAATATACATATGTGAACATATACATATATAGAGGTACGGTATATGCAGTATTCACACATACATGATCCCACTTTAAATTGACAAAATGTAAGACAAACGCTGACCCCCTGTTAACAGCAAGGAATGAGGACACGCCACACATTTGATCAGTTCTGTCATATCTGCTCACAATCCTGCACTGCTGCAGCATTCCGGTGATTGCTTTGTCGACTCCGAAACCGCATCGGTCTGTGACGCACGTCGACTTGCAGCATGCACGGTGAAACCGCGGCGCGATTGAAAAACTTTTCGGGCATCGCAAATTATAATTCGACTTTAATCGCAGTTCGCCACGGGATATCACCTGATATCAGAATTAATGTATCGAGTGGCTCCTCTTATCTCTTTAATAAAAACACCTGGATAATCTCCGTCGTGTGGTCTTTAAACCGCCCTTATCTGAAATTGAAAACGACGCACCTTTTGTGAGGGTGATTTACCTCTCAAAACCACGCCGCCGCCGCCAAGCGATCGCCGGTACTCTGTGTTCACGTGCATTGCCACTTGCCCAGGCTCTACCCACACAGGTGGTGGCCCTTACGCACCTTGCTCTCGCACGTATTCCCTTATTATGACGATTACAATTATTGTTATGATTTTGGTGAGGGGATGATCACGATTTCATTTCGGTCTCGTTGGTCTCATCTCATTCGCACGGTCATATTTGTCTAATTACCCCCCACGTTACATTTACGTTCACATTTTATGAATCGTAATCGAATGCTATGCGCGCGCAATTTTATGCCTATGTTGTGAGTGGAAGAATCAGTGGTAATCGATTAATGAATGAATCGCTCTGATGCCGACGAGAGGTTTTCAAATATTGACTGCTGTGTGCATAGGGGCCCTTTGTACTTGTACGGCAGGCAAACGACCATCAGCATGCACCATAAGTGTCTGCTGATGGGTAGCGCACACTGACTATACAGCACTCACATCGGTGGCACTCTGTAGTGTCGTGTCTGTTGCTGGGTAGTGCACTCTGACTATACAGCACTCACATCGGTGAGTACTCTCTAATGTGGTGTCTGCTGCTGGGTAATGCACTCTGACTAAATATTTAAGGGACCTGGAATAAGTATCCCCTAACATCACCGTCTGTATTGTAATTGTCATCATCGTAATTATCACGGTAAGCATCTGTATCATTAGATCTTGACTTAAATCTTTTCTGACTGCAGGAGTTCATATTCTTTGGGTCTTTCGGTAAGGCACGTAGATAGGTTCAATGAAATAACAAAAATAACGACAAAATACGACGTTTCGAACGCTTGTTTTGCGATCGAAACGGTCGTAGTTTTTTGTTATTTTCTTTGAACTTATCTATGCGGCTTTACCGAAAGACCCAAAGAACATCTTTATCGATCACACGCTAAATCGTCACCAGCCATGATCTAGCCACTGCTGGATGAAACGCTCCCCCCCCAACCTGTTGCTGTCCCCCCATGGTCTGTGATTCCTGAATCCATCTCACAGTAATCACCATACAGAGTCATTGGCTTTTCTCCTTTCCAGTGGTTTGCCCTGCCCAATACCCACTTACTTTCCTCATTAGTCAATCAGATGTCTCTGATTTGCATTCGTTCTTTGATCTTTGTGGTCCCTTTTTGGCTTTCCGTGTCATTCCAAGCTTGCTTCTATCCACGCTTCATTAACGTTTCAGCTTTTGTTCCATTTTCCTTGTCAATGTCCATGTTTCTGATCTTTTGCATATTAGTTGGCATTATGTAAGGATTTAAAAATTACAATTCAGGCCCACCAGTGCACTGCCTTCATTAACCAAGGTCGTCTTTTCAAAAGTCACAAATAGTAAGTTGGGTGGGGGGGGACACGATTGTTTGAAGGACACAAATTAAACTGCAGAGAATGTAGCTCAGAGATTTACTGAAGGTGGATAGGAATCGTGCCAATGAGATACGAAATAAACTGTTGCTCTGTATCTGCACATAAACTAGGGATGTTGCTACGTTTTCCAGTGTCGACCAAACCCAGACATATTTCACTGTGTAGTTTTATCTTCAAAACCGTGCAGTGAACTGCACTAAGGTTCAATGGAGCAAGACCGGTACCAGATGTTTTTCCAAATCAACTCTCGCCGCCCAAACACAGAGGCCAATTCTCCCTGGACTGTCCAGGTCAAACCCCGGAAGGGTGGCAACCCAATGATATATTGCAGTCGCCTGCCTTCCAAATTATATCAACCGGCAGCATTTGCTTACACAGACTAATCAGTTTGGGCCTAATTGGCAGAGTCAGGCATGCAAGATGAATACCGTCGCTTTAGTGCTCGATCAGGGTTACACATAGCGATCATCGCTCCCTTCTGGCAGACTTTGTGCCGAACAGGGACAGCTGCCACTGAGGAGTCAGCTTCTAATGAGATGCAATGCGAGGCCCTTTTTTGAGTTGCTGAGGCCTTTGGGCGATGCCATATAAAAGAAAATATTAAGATTATTACAAGATTCTGAACAGTATGGGCTATCAGCACAAAATGTAGTGTACAAAACAACGCATTCGTTGTATTACCCACAGTGCTCCACCATTGCGCCCATTGAGGTCTTGTACAGCTCATCCGCACAAACTATGGCACAAATTGAAATTTTAAACTCTACAGTGTGCGACTGTGGTCATCCAGAACAGACCGTGCACCATATAACAATGCAATACCCAATCCACAAATATGAAGCAGACATTGCAGCAATACACTCCGCTGCTCCTGACGCGGTTGTCTGGCTTGACCACCTGAATGTGAAATTGTAGTCGTTGCTCTGCATCTACATCAGCCATATGAAAGAAGCTCTTGCGCAATATTCTTTTCGAATTGTAATACAGCCTTGTATTTTTTTGCCAAGTGCACTTTGCATGTCTCTGTAATGTAATTCATCAATAGGTGGGGCAAAATGCAGCTATGACAGTTCAGTCCCCTGGAGCTCGTATAGAATAATATATAGAGATAAGGTGCTGACCGATACGATAAGTTTCATTTTAATTGTTAATTACCGTGATTTTAAAATAACCTAAATGCCACTACAAGCTGGGATCCACAGAGGCGAGCGGAAGGGTTGGGGCCAGCTTGCAGTCGCGCTCTGTGCGAACGGCTGGAACGCACCTGCATGACCCCATGGCAGCCAATCAGCGCTGCTGCCAGGTCCCTAAGCAGATACACTCAGAGGGGCCATGGCAGCGGCGGTGACCGACGCTGGGAAATTCGTTGAAACCTGTTTCAGTGTCTGGTTTTAAACATTAATTATTTAAATTACTTGGGGTTTACATTCACCTTTTTAAAGTTTAATATCCCTCCCTCTCGCCCACCCGCCCGCCCACCTACCCACATGACTCTCTTTGGCCTCATTCTGTTCCCAGTGATCTTAATTCGTGAACCATTTATATGCAAGTGATGAGAGGCATGCAGTAAAACAGTCTTTAATATTTGTCATGAAGATTGCAGTATTGTATTTACTCCATGTCTCACGAAATATAAATTGAGTATTTAATTGGACGTTCATACATTTATTTAGTTTCTATTTCGCTATTTTGAGAAACACCCATGTGTCACCACAGTATTCAAAAGTGATTTTCAAACTGGAGACAGCCAACGATTTATTTTCTCAATCAAAGTTTAAAAAAGGCCATTTCAAACATTTTCACACATTTCTTTCCTTAACATTCTTTACACACATTACACGGGTCATGACATTTATTTCACATCACTAAGAAAGCAGGAGTGTTATCATAATTCTAGTGACTGTTTACAGCTAGATTTACATCTTGGCTGCTAGCTTTTTTAGTTATATTTTTTTAAGGTAAAAAATGTATACCTTCCACAGGTAGAATGTTTCACCAATGCTTTGTAGAAATATATCCTTTAACAATAAAACAAATCTGGTTCGTTTTTAGGCCATTTACAGCTGCGTACATGGAATCAAGATTACCAAGGACAAGGACGACTTCCACAGGATGGCCAAAAATGCCTACAGAAGAACTCAAGCATCATGGGCCTCCTGACGGTGGCCAGGAACATGGCAAGCCTCACGCAGGTGAATGGGCCCGACGCAGCCACCACTCGTGTCAACAGGGCGGGCCAGCCGGCCTGCTCGGTGGCCGCCGACAAATCGGCCACAGAGCACCTGACAGGGCGAGCCGCACTCAACAACAGCGACCAGTGGAACCGCTGCGCCGCGGCCGCTGCAGAAGTGCAGCTCGCGCGCGACCCGGCCTACCAGGAGGACTACGTGAGCGAGGCCGAGATGTCGTACCCCGTACCTCAAAACAACCAGCGCTTCATGGAAGCCAACGCTGCAGCTTCTGCCGCCACCGGGAGCTACACTCCACGGGACCACAGCCCGGCGCAGATCTCAACCAATTTGCATCACTTTGGCGCGCACCCAGATGTCCACCGGCCCGTCGCCAAGTCGCGGGAAATGCTGTCTGCCTCGCCTTGCTTGGATTTCAAAAGCAGCCAGCGGGACGTCGGGGAATCTTTCATTCCAATGTGTGAAATTCCTCAAACTCGGCTTGAGATTCCAGCGTTGACTTACAACACCGACGTTGAGAGCATTCACGGGAACAACACTGATATCGACGACATCAGCGAATGCAACAGCCAGTACCACTCTGGAAAGCGCAGCGGCAGACCAAAGAGCACACCGTATGGAAAACTCGCAAGAGACTACAAAGATGTGGGAAGGATTCCCAGTCGGGGTTCAAGCCAAGACAAAGAGATTTATGGCAAGGCCACTCTCAACACACTTTCACGTGCGATGCCCGAAGACTGGAACAACCAGGCGAGGCCGTCTTTCTGCAGCGAGATCGTGTATAGGTCTGACATGCTGGAGCCTGGCATACAGATCAAGAGAAGCAGCAGCATCCCCGAACACGGGGCGACTGCACAGATAACCTCTGCCGCCGTTCTCTCACACCACACGCCAGAGAAGGAGTGCAGCATCTGCAAGGTAAAATATCAAGAGCCGCCATCTAGCGCAAGGGCTGAGTGCTACAGGCATTGCCCATCGCGCCTGGATGAATGCGCAGGTTCTTGCCTGAACCAGTGCTGCCCGGGCTGTGCCTGTGGCAGTGGCGCTGGGAAAACAGATGGCGAGCAAACAAGTGTGACATTGGGGCGAAGTGCACTGGAGCGGCACGCCTCTTGCGTGCACGAGGACGAGGAGTGCTGCTACGGAGTCACTCTGCCTCCCCCGTGCATCACTCCCAACCCCGAGCTGCGCTGTAGACAGGATGATATATGTTGCATCAACCAAGCAATCGGTTCCAATTACTCCACAGCTAGCAAGAGTGATTTTTGTGCTATCAAGTCAGACCCCGGAGGAAGCGTCGACTCCTTGCGAGGCTTTAAAGTCAAACCGCACCGTCGGCTTGAGAACGAGCTCAATGTTTTCGGCTCCCTCAAAACGCCGTACGCATCGGACTTGCACACGCAAGCGTTCTCTGATACGGAGATGTTGTACGAAAATATCAACGTGCCAGACATCAGGAGGCACAGACAGCCAACTTTGGGCAGGCCGCTAAACTCGGGGGGTAAGTTGAGCAACGGTCCCGTGAATGTGAAAGGGCCGGGGCGGGCAAGTAAATCTCCTCACAGCCACACCCCAAACATGAGGCATGCCGGCGGCAAGCACAGTATGGAGTCCGAGGTCTGAGGTGAACTACGGTTTTTATCACAATCCTCTTCAAGATTACATTTTCACTCGTGTACAAAAAAACAAACCCCTTCTTCAAAGATGATGTTAATTGCTTTGTTTGTGTATTTATATACTGAGTAGTTAAACACAAAATAATATCTGTTACTTAAATTACTTAAACAAAGCCAGCTCACACACGTCCCATGCCAACGAAAGGAGGCCCCAGTGAAGTTAAAGTAGATTCTACTTAAAGCAAACTATTGTTTACAATGGGAATGTGAGCAAATATGAGGGTGTGGGGATTAGGGGTGACTTGTGGGGTATTGCACGCAGCTTCTACAAATAACCGAATCACCTGCCCACCTTCCACACATGTACGAGTGCAAACGGCTTCGGAAAGACAGCTTTGAGCAATAACTGCCATGCAATCCGCTTTTGTATGGTTTACTTTCATAATTGGCTGACGAAGTCTCGGAGCGTTAGGGACCTACTGTTAAGAAGAACAATTGTGGTCGCAATTGCAAATCTGTACCCACGAGCCCTGTTAACTCACACTTGAGGCAGACTCTCCCTCTCATGGGGGGGGGGGGGTGAGGGGGTGTTTACTTCAATGCTGTTATTGATCCATATGGCTCCTTCCTACATATAATGCAATTGTGGAACAAATTGTACATTCCAAAATTATTCACGTGTGCTCCTGAAACAAAATAAAGGCACAGTGTAAATAATTTTGAAGTGCTCCATGACGGACAAGCGCATACTAATTGATCAGCCAGAAAAAAACCCGGTCAGTTTCAAAGCAGTCACAATGTAACACTGTGCGAGACTCATCTAATTACAAGGTTATCTTTCTAAATTTAAAAGGAAATCTTGACAGCGGTAAGGTACCGTCTTGGTGTGACATTCAAAATAACGTGAAACAGTAGACGATTGTCCGGTTAAAATTTGCAATGTTTTTTTTGCACCGGTAAAAATGTATATTGTAAAATGTCGCGTGTTGCCATTTTGTCATGTAAGGTAAATGTTAATTAGGAATTGCTGGAGATATCTCATTACTACCTTGTGTTTTTATAACAGGTCTTTATATATACACATGAATGTGTGTTTGTGTACACAATGCATACATATAAACCAGTCTTTTTGTTTACTGTCAAAAATGTAACAAAAAGTTTACATCTTAATTTACCTAAAATAATACTGTAAGTCGATGTAACCCAAAGTCAATACCGGTTACATAGTAGCCAGTAACAGAGGACTAATCCTTGGGATCGAATGCCTTGGATGAATATAGCACCTATTAGCATAGTCAACCCTTAATTTATTGTGTGTGCTTATTATTCCATGTTTAAGGATGTGTAAGAATTATTTTTTTCAGAAATGTAACGACATTGTTAGCAGTCTCCAAAAAGCCGGATATATCTAATACAGCAATTATTCTTTTTAGGACATTAGATGACCATTTCCACCACCAAAAATAGACCCGAGGTCTCTGTGACATATCAGTCATGCTCTGGTAGTGTGGACATGAAGCTTAGTCAATTATGTGCCATTGTTTGGGCTTACAATATATGAACTCACCTGGCGAAAGTAGCATTTAAATGTAATGACCAAATCTCGGTTGTTTTGTATAATATGCTGTGGTAATTAACTTTCTATATTGTACTAGAAGGGTATTTTTTATTAGTATATTCGTTATTATTTTGCTCTGCATGAATCAGACAAAACAATTACCCCGATTACTTAAAGAACTAAACAAAATTAAACCAGGCAAAATTTGTGTAAACTACGCTCCACATGCTCCCCCCCCCCCAAATAAAAACCCCCCACATTGAGCACCACACATCTGCGGTGACATCGGGGCGGGCGGCTACATGGTGACACCAGCGCTAATAGTTGATAAACCCATTCTCTTCGGCCCCATTCTCGCCAACGGCACAGGGAACTCCAATCCTCACTTGAGAAGACCCAGCAGCAGCCTGCCACCACTCTCCAGGCCCAGCAGGGAAATCGTAGCAACTACGTGAATGTTGCCGGAGGAGAGGATGATGTACAGTTTATATAAAGTATATAATTGCAATCTAATCACAAACAGCTATGTAAAATGGAAATACAAGCATGCAAATGGCTTTCTTAGAAACATTATCTTAGTATAATGGTGTTAGGTTCTAAAAGTAGTACAGTACTGTAATTGTATATTAAGCAACAACTGTGTATCTGCGATATCTAGAAATGCGTGCCATTGCTAGTAAACTACTATAGCTAGGATATGAATTTCACTAAAGCTTATTGCAATTCATGACAGTGCATTCATGTGTTATGTACGGATGCAGCTGTTTAATTCACAATGTTTCTGGAAAGTATCACCACTTTATGAACCCAACCAGTAAACTCTTAAAGCACCATACATGGCAGAAATTTGCATTTTTACACAGATATGGTCTCCAATTAACGTCAATTATAGAAAAAAATAAGGTTTAAAAAAAGTGCACACACTTGATGTTTTTGGAATGGAAATAATATCAACGCAATACAAGGATGTTGAATTTATTCCTTTTGAACCCATCCCTTTTGTAAACTTGTTTCAGCTTCTCTTAGCAGATAAGGGATTGTGGTAGCCACAGGCAATGCATTCTAATTAAAGAAGGCCCAATGCAATGAGCAACTGCTATTTTGGAAGACGATTAAACTGCACATTGTATCCGTTTCATCCAGGTCCAGTAATTTTTGGGGATTATATATAACATTTTAGGTGGATTCTACAACTCAAGTGAGGTGCAGAATATCCCAGTCCCCACAAAATTGCTCGCTCTGCTTTCACCGGATTTTATAATGGCGGCTGTCATCACGGAAGCTGTTTAGCCACCACCTTTGAAAGGCAAAAATATTGACAAGCTATGTTAAATCCTAACGACCACGTATTATTATGGTAGCCAATCATCGTGGGTTAAGTGCACCGTGATCATCCTACACTCACTCAATGGTTCCACTTACAAGTTGTAAATACAATTCGAGACACTGCTTTGGCAGCGATGTACAATTACAGGACACAAAAAAACATCTCGGACATCCATTAACACTGACCTCGAAAAAGAGGCAACCATTACCCGGGCGAACGTTTGGAGCATTCTCCACTCGCCTTCCCTCAGCCCAGATAAAAGGAAGGCGGGCTACTGCCCTAAACGTCAGTCTGCTGCTGCTTCTCTCTCTGTGTCGTGAAGCAGCGAGAGGTGAACACGGCTGGCGTGATGGGTTGAGGCTCGTCCTTTTAACGGTGTGTTGGGTTTTATTTTTGTCCTCAAACTGGGAGCACTTGTTTATCGATGCGTTTGTACTGAGCAATGTAAAATTAAATTTTACTTTAACTTG